AAACTGCTCTCAATTTTGTTGCTATTGTAAATTTCTGGGCTATTGGATAATGCTATAATAAGCTCATGTCTAATGTGGTGCTTATCAGTTTCATTTTTAGATACTGTCACCAGATGTACACAGTCAAAGGTGTGGACACAACAATCACACTGTCACAGAGATCACTACGTTGGTCCAGTCTGGAATATCACAAAAGCTATGAGATGGATTGCTACTAGACCGACATTACACAGACATTCACTATCTCCATAAATCAAAATGACTTAGGAGATTTCTAGACTTTTCCTCTAGCACCACCATAATGTATCAGGATGGATTGCTATGAATTTTGGTCCAGACATTCAAATTTCCCTTAGGATGAACTGTAGTTATACTGTAGCTTTTCCTTTGGTGCCATCTTAGGGTCAGACTTTCAGGTTGTTTAATGCTTTTGTTTATGACTAAATATCTAAAAAAACAAATGATTAATTAAGAAGGTGAACATGTTAAACATTATACTTCCATGTTAGCATACGGGCATTAGCATTTAGCTGTGCACCAAAGCCATTACTGTGGCTATAGACTCTTAAGTCTTGTTAGATATTTAAATTCCCCCTCTGAAAACACAGAGCCTCCAGAACAACATATTCTATATACAAAATCTATAGACACATATGCCCCCCTTCCCCCCACTTAAGAAGCAGTCCAGCTGGCTAGTGCAGAGGTGAAGGGGAGAAGCCATTCTAGTGAGTGAGGAAAGCAAATCATGAGCTGCCAGGGGTGTCAATCTCAACAACAGCTGCAGCCTAAGGCTGGGCCCACACTTTTCGAAATCTTAGCCAATTTTAAAGATATGAGAGACCATAGATATCCCGATCCTGTCAGAGATATAACGATTAGGTCATTCAACACCTCACGCTATGGGATCATATGGCCCAAGAATCGCTTCAAAGCGGCCTCATGCAGGGGAAGGCCCTCACCATTATCAGGAAAGGTAAATCAAACCCTAAATTGGGGTAATTATCCTGTAATGTGGGGCTGGCTTAAATGCTGCATTCACATGGTATTGTGGGTCTACTCATATGTACACAAACACACCGAGAAACACGCCAGATTAAATTTATCAAGCTGGATTGATTTCTCCTAAAAAGAATGGCCACCTAGGCAATTGATTAGGCAGCTCTGGGGACAGGCAGCTCAGCGGTGAGATGATGAAGTCATTGTGCCGCTCACACTGACATACACAAACACGCATTCACACAATGCAAATATTTCATAGAAAACAGAACTTCTGTTCTCTGCAGTCCTCATATGAAAGGTGCTGGTGTACAGTCTAAAAATTCAAGCTGCAGAGAGACACTTTCAGCTTCAAAATGTTAAATGTTGCTAATCTAGTCATGCAAAGGAACAGGAGCAGGAACAAAGAAACCCTAACATATGCAAATGCTGACAAACTCTGACACACACTCAGGCACACGCACACACATGCAGGCTCTAATTGAGCGTTTTTAATTACCATAAATGGGAGCTTTGTTTAACATTGGTGTCAAATTGATTAGATACAGTCTGCATGATTGTGTGTGTGTGTGGGTGTGTGTGTTTGCGTGTGGCTGTGTGTTTGTGAAGGCCTATGTGTGTGCCTGTGAAAGACTTCCTGTCCTGCCTCTGCTCTGGCCCTGGTGGTCCCAGCTGGCGTGGGGAGGAGATGAAGCCATGGCAGTGGTGGGGGAATTAGGGATGCAAATATCCCTGTCAGCCCTGGCAGCTCCCCAGGGGTACACATGAATTACATGATCTGATTTGAACCTAGTGTGTGTGTAGAAGTGCTTGTGTGCATATATTGTATGTGTTGGGCTGGAAACTACACCTGCCTCTTGTCAATGTACTCCTGAACAAACACTCCAGCTCTGAAGAGGCCATGAAACCAACTGAGAAGCCTTTTATAATGGCCCACTCAGTATCTTAAAATGAGAGTCAGCAAGAGTGAGGGTGTTATTGTAAGTGCATGCATGAACTACATCTGCATCCTCATGCAACGCTGCTCTTAGACAAAAGAGACAAAACAAACTGTCAGACTTCAAAGTGGTCAAAGAAATTGAAAGCTGGCATAAAAGAGGAAAACAGGAGATTCTGGCTACTACACCACAACAAGATTATAAATGGCACACACCTGACCGCACACATATTCTCTGAATATGTGTGCGGTCAGGTCATGAAAACATGCTGGCCTTTGAAATAGCAGCAATGTTAAAGAGCTTATTTCTGAATCCTCACAACAGCAAATTTTAGGCAGATGTTCACACGACTCTCAAGACTGATGGTCAAATATTGGACATAAGTAACTCCCCTCCCTGCCCTATCAGGGGAACTCAGCCCCAAGTCCATTTTCCTAGTGGAGATGTACATCTCTCATACATAACAAACAAATCATCTTTTTTTTTTTTAAGAGCTAAGTAAACAGGTTTGTTGGGGATGATTTTCAGCTGCACAAGTTATTTCACTCACTACAGGACAGTGCATGTAGAAATGACTCCAAATAAACTACAATCCCTGTGTTTCATTATTACATGTCACCCAGTGCTACAGTGTGACTCATTTATGTGATTTTAATAGCTTTAGGACAACAGTGGAAGTTTATGACAGGAGAGGAATAAGCTACTGTATATCAGTGTTTGGAAGCACAGGAAATACTTGCTGGTGGGATACATGTATTTCTGGTTTTGGTCATTTAATGGAAATTTTTGACAAATGATAAAATACTGCCAACTTTATTCAAGAGTTAAGGTAATAATCCTGTGCGCAGCCCGAGACAACGTAGACTGCTCATCCATCCAACTGGGTGCCGAAGGGGGACAGGATTCTCATTTCTCACAAAAATATGACTCCAACGCACACTAAAGATGTATAGATATGGAATCCTCTTTAATAATTTATGCACATAATTGCAAGCAATGCATTTAGCATTACAGCATCTCAGTTGTAAATTGGAGTGTTTTAGCTTTGATTGCCAACTTTATTCTTAAAAAAAATAATAATAATAGGACTGTTTCTTGATGTGAACATCTGATGGTTAGCAGACCGGAGTGAGTTGATGTCTGCTTGTTTTTCTCTCTTAGTCACTCAACTCTCCTCTCCATTAGAAAGAAACAAACTCCCCAAAGATACACTAATGGCTCTATTCTGCTATTGTGTGTGTGGATGTGTTTGTCTGGTAAGATCCCTCTTTGACAGTAGAGTTCTGTCAAAGCTTCTTTTTTATGCAGAATGAATGAAGGTGTGAGTAATGACTCCTCTATTCCTTCCTTAATTCCCTTTGGAGTTCATTTGTCCCTGTCCTGTCCATGTGTGTGCCCAGATCTTAGTGTCACTATTATAACCCTGCGCAGGCTACAGTGCACTTATAACATGATAAATGGGCGTGGTTGAGCATCACTTTAAAATAGTAATACACTTTGAAAGTAGCTGTTTATCTGTTCCAAATACAATCATTACAATGTTTTTAACAAGTGATCACACAAGAATCACACAAACAGGATGCCAGTAAAACCTTAGTTTTTTTGTTATTGTTTCTGTTTTAGCATCATGCTCAGTTAAGAGAATATTTGTTTAGGGCATGGCAGCAAAAAATGGAAGGTGAAACAAATGTAGAGCATGTTCATAATTGCTTATTTTGTTTGACATGACTTCCCATTCTAATACTCTTATTCCTTGTCTTCTCTCTTTCATTTTCTCTGTACTCTATCCCTGCTCAACATTAGAGCCCTTTGCTGACCTCAGACACTTTGCAAAACAGGAAGCATTACAACATAGAGCCATTCCTGCACATCTGGACAGGGTGGACAAACATTTTAATGCACCCAAATGTGCATCCACACACTTGCACATAAAACCACACATGCGCTAAAGTCGTCCACTTCGCCAGGATGTTGCAACAGGATATTAGAGCCCCTGAAGATCATATGATAAACTGATGTGACTGGCTTGTGAGCATATCAGAGCACAATGTTGCATCTGTGTACACAAATTTGAGAATTTATTGCTTCAGATGCTACAAATGGGGCAAAAGCTTTCCCATGACATAACAATTAGTG